CCAATGGACTCTATATCAAGCAAAGGAAAATCAATCCAAAGCAAGCATTAAGAATAGAAACATAACACAACAATGAATGAAACAACATATATATCATTAATAAAGGAAAGATTACAAGAGAGTTTTGTTGGTTACATCTAACCCCACAAAATAATGGGTAAAACCGCTCAAAACAATGAAGGTGAAACAAAAATAGAGATGGAAGAATCGAAGGAAAGACCCACACACGAACGGTCCCAAGCACCGGGAATCCCTTCCACAGCTCCTAGAAGTCGCCCAATGTGTGAATGAGGGAAAAATCCTCGAAGACTTGATCAAATACGAGCTGGGTGAGTCAGGTTAAGGTTACCACGCCCGGCGCGTTATGCTTTGCGCCCGGCACAGGGCCTTCCAGAGAGTTTAGATGCTCTCTGTCTCAAGACACGCCCAGCGCAATTACTCTCAAGCCCGACACGATTTCTTCCAAAGAGTTTAAGTTGCTCTCTGTCTCGGGGCACGCCCGGTGCATCTACTCTTGTGCCCGGCGCAGTTCTGAGTTGTAGAGAGTGTGGCTCTCTGTCTTGTTCAAGCCAAGTACGGGTAGTCTTGCGCCCGGCGTAGGTACTCTTATCCTACTCCTTAGCTCCTTAAATTTCCAATCCTATGGGTCTTCAACCTCACTCCTAAACCTAATACCTGCATAAAAAATGAGGTGTATCAAGATATTGTCAGATGATCTTTGGGTTAGGTATATCTACACAAATTTAAACAAAAAGAGAACAATTATATTATAAGAATGCATGGAGTGAGTGAAATTGTTCAATAATTACTATCTTAAAAGAAGTGTAATTGAGACTTAACATCGTGCCACCCCCGACATAAGTGTGAGAAACCACAATCACATCACATTCGTAATCATCACAAATCTTGAAATTAACACTATGTCAAGGTCACGCCACCCCTATAGCATCTCTTGTCTAAGGTTGTGCCACCCCTAACATAAGTGTTAATTACCTCACACATCCCACACTATGCCAAGGTCACGCCACTCATGTAGCATCTCTTGCCCAAATTCTTGCCACCCCTGACATAAGTGTGAGGAATCACACATCCCACACTATGCCAAGGTCACACCACCCCTGTAACATCTCTTGCCCAAGGTCGTGTCACCCCCGACATAAGTGTGAGAAACCACAATCACATCACATTCACATTCCACACAACATCTCATTTCATGTCAACATACTCACATCATAATTAATTGAACAATTAAGTCATAACATACCATTCGTCACATCATGTTGTCAATTCAATACTAAAATGGTAGATATAATGTATACATTTGTGCCAAGACATCACTCCATATTCCATAACTTAATTTCACATCACATACACAAAATAGATAAGTCCACACAAAATAGTGGTTCACATACCCCTCAAGCAATTCACCATAAATCCACATCTAGATCATCAATACCAAATATATAACAATAACATTTATAAATTAATATAAAACCCGATTGAAACTAATTTAATAGAAACTTAAATCAAATATTAAAACCCCCAATTTTTCAAAAACCTAGCTCACAGACACTTTTCTACGATTTTGTTCTCTCTCTCATATCATCATTTTTACAAATTATTTGCATATATTCATAATCCTAATACAGAATCTCATAATACTAATAATTCTCCAAACAGAAATAATTATAAAATTATTAAAAATTCCACAGGAACTCCTCTCCACCCATTCCCTCATGTAACTCTACACATAAATCACTCTTTTTCTCCCGTACCTCGATAAGCAGTACCTGAAACTAAAGTAGGATCTGGTTGGTCTCTTCCTCTGGGTTCCCCTTGGTCTTTAGAGAGTGTAGAAGAAAAGAAGTCAAAAGTGAAAAATATGTTTTTGGGAGTGCCAGAGCGTGTTACTTATAAACATCAAGAATGGCTGGAACGACCCGTTTCAGATCTGGAACGACCCGTACTGGACTCATTCATCATGTGTAAAATTCACATCCAAAGCGACCTGTTCTTAAACCAGAACGGCCTGTTCTGGGGTTGCATTTTAACCCATAACGGCCATGTTTGGAACGGCCCGTTTTTAAACCAGAACGATCCGTTCCTAATTAGGGTTACAAGCTTTTTTGGTGATTTGGAACACCTCGTTCTAGTTGAGAACAACTCGTTCCCAACTAGGGTTTATAAGCTTTTTTAGTAGTTTGGAATGGTCCGTTCCAGTTTGGGAACGACCTGTTCTAAGCTACTAAATTATCCTTATTGGACTTTGGGCCTTCATATAATCTGTGAATATCGGAGTGTTACATTGTTCAATTAAAAAAGTCATTTAAAATCATAATTCAATACACTTTAGTTTTTAATGTAATGTTAATTTTAGTTTTCTTGATTTTTCCTTCATAAAATTTTCAAACACTACAATTAAAAATATCTTTTATTAAATGAGTGGGACTATCTTAATAAAATTACATAAAAAATGATATATTTATTATTATTTTAAATTTGTGTGCAAAAACTTAATATGTAAATATTTTATAATGGAGAGAGTAATAACATGTTTGTGTTATCCTTTATAGTCTAAATTGACAAAAAATATACATTCTTATGCATTAAAATGACCTAAGGATTAGAGATGGAAATATGTTAGGGAAGACAAAAATTTTAATATATCGATTAATACTATTTTATAAAATTAAAACTTAAACTTGATCTAATATCTATTGTAAGAATTTTAATAAGTTTGACTTGATTTCTTTAAAAATTTAAACTAATCTATTAGTCTATTTTACATTAATAACATTAAATAAACTAATAATATTAATTTTAAATAAGTTAATAAGTCTATTTTAAATACATATGTGAATAATTTTTTTTATTTTTATGATAAAAAAATATTTTATTCTATTATTATTAAAATTAAGATTTTAAAAAAATTAAAAAATTAACATAAGAAAAATAACTTAGACATAAAACATATTCATATACACCAACATAATGTACATTCACGAAGTTGTGATGAAAGAAAGTGACTTTATTAAAAAAAAAAATATTTTTAAATATTTTCTATATCTTATTTAGAATATTCTAAACAACCAATCATAAAGATGAAGAAAGAGTAGCCAAAATTTGACTACTAGAATTTTTATTTTTAATTTATTAATTTTGTAAAACCAGAGAATCTAAAAGTTTAAGTATAATGAAAATGTTAAAAATATGCATAGTTTGAATTTTTAATTACAAATTCATTTATTTAATTATATTATTAATAATATGATATGCATATTAACTTTTTATTATATTATATATGTAAATAGGTTAATTTATTAAGTTTAACAAACTTTTTTATAAGCTTAAATCTAATATTTTAAAAAAATTTAAACTTAACTTTTATATTAAATAGTTTAAGCTAGATTTTAAATATGAATCTTGTTAGAGTTGTCTGAATGTCCAAAAATTTTAACTACATTGATTTCAATTCTCTGTTTTCGATAATATGATATTAATATAAAATATCTACAACTAAAAAAAGCTCCGAGTAATCTCAAATTTGCTTTGTTTTATATCTATTGAAATTTAAAATTAAATATAAGCTAATTAAAGTGTATTTAATACATGTGAAAATTATTTTTTTAGACATACTATATATAAAGGGAATAAGTTATGTAGTAATTGCTTTGCTCTAATATAAAGGGAATAACTTTTTCTCTCTAAAAATTGAACAACTTTTTTCCTTAAATTTTTTCCTCAAAAATTGTCTTTAAAATTTTACGTCAATTAAATCATATCCCTCCAAAGTATTTATATTTTTATATATCTATTTTAAAAATATAAAAGATTTAAAAAATGTAAATAAAAAAATTATATACAAATTATTATGGATTTATATTGCAAAATACTATATTTACTATTTTTAACATGTAAATTATTGTAGATTTATACAATAAATTTATATACTTACTATATTCGATATCCTTTTTAAAATATGTAAACCAAACAACTTTTGTCACTTTTTTTTTTCATTCCATAACCTCCTGTTAAAACATAAAAATAAACATTTTATTCTAAAAAGTAAATAACTAAAGAATTAAATAAAAATATGTATTTAATATTTTTAATGTAATTAAATATTAATGAATGTTATATTAATGTTTTATTACTAATTACTAATTATACAAATTTATTAATTATTGATACTATTTGATTTAAAATTCAAATAAAAAATTAAATTTAAAAGTTTGGAAATATAAGAAAACTTAATTCAAAATTAACAATAAAACATGATATAATATTAATAATAAAAATTTGGACAGAAAATACTTAAATATTTTTTTAATGTAACTCATTACTAATGACTTCTCCATTCAAAAATTCAAATAATTCAAATAACAATATGATATGAGTAAATATATAAAGGTGACAACTTTTTGAAACTATTTCGCCCTAAAAATTTATATCATAAAATATATATTTATATTAATCTATAAAAAAAATACCCCTTTTAATAATCACATTGGTCAATCTCAACATATGGTAGACTACTCTTTTATTATAAAAAAAAAAAATTAATATTTTAATCAAATCCAAAGTTTGAATTCAAGATCTTGAGGTTAAAGGATCAATTGCAATATTAGTTGAACCAACATATTTTGATTACAAATATAAATTTAAAAAAATTAATAAGTAAAAAAAAGCTTTAAAGGGAGAAAAAAAAAATACGGAAAGAAAAAAGTCAAAACATCAACAGATATACAGTTATTTTGTAACAATGGTAAGTTTGCATTCTTATAGGACACAAGTTCAATTACTAAACCCACTGTAAAACATCAAAGCCTTATGCACTGAGTCACCCCTTTTTAATTTTTATTTTGGAACACTTATATTGATAAAGTATCGGATAAGCATAATAGGAAGTAGGAACACAATAATATGCAAAAGATAACAGGCAAAGCACGGAGCATCAGGCTGCAAGTATGAGCTTTGAGAAATTATGGAAAATGCAGCCATCATAGAAACTAAACTGATATATGCAAACATCGCAAACTTGCCCCTTGAAACTACAATTAACCAGTCTAGTATATCTACTAGGATTTCATAATTATCCAAAAATCAAACATACACAGCCAAAAATATTGACACAAGTAATGGACCAGGAGTATGTGGATGTCCAAAACTACTTGAATTTACAGCCAAAATCCTATCAGCAGTTAGTTTGATAAATAACTAGTCTTCATCAAGCATGGTATAATCTTCTACATCAGTTTCTTTATTCATTTTGCGCATTTCATCAATCTCAACCAGTAACAACGGATCTTGCACCAGCTTATCTGCCTGCAATATCTTTGGGCAACCTGACACAAAAAAATTGGTTAAAGAGAAACACAACGGTGGCATAGGATTAATGTTAAAGGTTCTTAGACAACAATGGTCTACCTGATATTGGGCATTGACCACGTTGTTGCTTTGATCTCAAATATTGCATTATTACTTTCTTTTCATAAATGTGCCTACATTCCATGCTGCATCAATAAAGAGAAACATGAATTACATAATACTATGTTGATACTTGAATGCATTCACAAGATCTTCCAAAGAACATGCATTTTAGTGGAAATACATAAACTAGCGGTGATCTTTTATTACATTCTGCAAAAACATGCTAAACACTGTTAATACTAAAATACTAATGAATACTCTCCAGAAGCAGTTCACATGGTGATACAACTCTATCCCTCCTTGTGAAGGTTCCATCTCCAAGCAATGCCTCTAAAGTAAACACATCAAAAAGCCAAAACTTATATTTAACTTCGTGTGCATAATGATTAATGGCTTGATCTTTGCAAACCACTCATACAATAGTTGTGATTGTGAATATGAATCTTCACAGACTCCACAAATATTTAGTCCATGGTTTATATGATAGACATCCAATCATATGTAGGCTGTGGATAGTGGATACTAGGAGTAATGGATAGGGTAGCAGAGAATCAATCTCTTATATAGATGTAGACAAAAGGTGCAAAATGAATCTATTCTGTAATTACCTAGTACCTTCAAACGTGGCTCATGGCAAGGAAAGCTAAGACGTAGGTGGCATGCAGAAGAAAGGGGGGGCGGAGGAGCATGAATTGAGAGGAAAAGGACATGGGTTTGGGCTAGATGCTCTACCCATCTGCACAACTCAAGATTTGTCTTTTATTTTTCTACATTTTCTATTCAAAGAGATTACTCTTACCGTAAGGCACTAGTTCTGTTTCGGTAGAAGAGGATGGAAAAACAGGAAGAGAAAAATAGAAAATTTAGAATAGGTAGTTTTGAGCGGGGTAGGTGTGAGCATCCAATAGAAAGGTATGCAACTTGAGTTCCACAATTTGGAAGTATAGAATTCAGTGTGGGGTTTATTAGGTCTTAGCCTCTCCAAATACAACAGATAGATTTTTTGGTGTGGTTCTCCCAAGGCTCTTATCAATTGATATCATTGCTTTTCACCATGTTTGTCAACTAGAAACAAGTGATGCAGGTAGTGATGATAGAACACCAATCGATATATTGGAGAAAAGTAAAATTAAACCACACAAAATACAGCAGAATTTGCTGTCCCACCATGTTTGTCAACTGCAAACGAGTGACGCAGGTGGTGATGATAGAACATCGATTGATATATTGAAGAAAAGTAATATTAAATTACACAAAATACAGCAGAATTTTCTGTCTCACAGTCATAGACAAGTCCTACAGAGATGAGAAATCTGTCCAAATTACTAGAAACCAATACACATGCATTTCCCCCTATTCACCTATTACACACATAACAACATGCAAATGCTCCTAGTTTCTGCCAATAACTGTTACAACTGCCTCTAACTCATTTTCTGTCAGGTGATGCCAACATTGCAATATTTGCTTGGGACTGGTCAAAAAGCTAGCACACAAACAACCTAGGTGCTAAGGCTGCAAAGCGTGGTGGCATGTTAGGACCCAATAGCAAGTTATGGGACTTGAGTCCCACATCGGAAGTATGAGATTCTAATGTGAGGTTTACAAGGCCTTACAAAAGGCTAGCTTTTGCGGTATGGTTCTCCCAAGGTTTCTATTAGTATCTTGCTCATAAGGCATAGTGCTTAATCTCTGGTTGAATCATTTTGTTTTTCTTGTAATTTTCATTTCTATTCCTGTATGACAAGACATTCCAGAATTTAGTTCTGGACTTCTGGTGTAGCTACTCTCAAACTTTTCTTATCAGTAAAATCAGTTCCTCGATCTATACATCATCTTTATAGGCATCATAACATTTGTTCTTTTAATCAGTTGTAGAATTGAGAGCAAAATAAGCCATCTTCAGAGTCAATTTTTAATAATCTGTTGTAGTATTGATAGCCATCTTATTTCCCATGGCTTACCTTGGTGCAAACGTAAAGGGCATCTAACATGTAGCTGGTCAGCCATATCATGAAGCATTATTTATCACCACCAAATTCACTTTCATACACAAATACAATGAGAAAATTCCTGCCTCCTAAATTTTGAATTTTTGTTTCCAAGTTTAAGATTCCAAGAATTTTAATGAACTTCCTACATCAAGAGATATGACATCTGCCTTTATGAATAAGTGAAGCTAAAGATTAAATAACTAGGACCTGTGGGGACTTGGGAGTATATCCGGGAGAATGGAAGAGCATTTATCAACTCAGGATGCATAAACAAGTCAAGTCAAGCCAACCAAAGCCAAGCACTTGAATCTCAATCATGATTTGTGATAAAATTGCTACTTAAACTCTGATAATTTATTACAAGCAGCCAAATTTAAAGCTTGATTGGTTTCTTTTCCTACATCAGTTTTTCCTAGAAGTATTTTTTTTTTGTTTATTAATTTAGTTGAATACATATCTTTATGCTAGAAGATGCAGAGAGTAAAGAAACTCTTTGAAAAGTAGTTAGGTAAATAGTGGATAGTAATAAATCAATAAGATCGCAATCTACTAAGCCATAGCAATAAACAAATAATTATTACACATACACTTCTAAATTTAATTACAATTTTTTTGTCATAGAATATACACAATACACAAGCTGTAAGTGAGCTTTTAGAAAACCTGTAAAGCCTGAGCTTATCTCATTTGTATAATTGGGTCTAGATTTAAGCTCAAACTTGTTTGTTTAGCCAATCAAACAAATTTGGTTGAGCATTTAGCAAGTCAAGGTCAGAATATTTACAAGTAGCTCTACTCATTTAGACCCCCTATGGTCACCTGTTTATTGACCAAAGTTCAGAGCAGGTATCAGTGAAAGAAGTTGAACATAACCCATTGATGCAGGTTATTCACGCATGGGTATGGCTGTATGTATTTCTTCCATTTAAAGGGTACACTGACAAATATAAAAAATAACAATGATAAATTATTGTTTTTCTTTTTATAGTATATAAATAAGATATTTGGATTCAAGCCATAGGATGAGAAAAAACACAGCCAAATGAATAATGAGACAAATACAGACGTCTTATTGATTTGCATGTGAATTCTTCAGCCTTTTCAACCTGAAGCCAACCTATTTAAATCCCTACTATCAGAGAAGAAAGGTGAAGAACCTTAAAACATATAGACAATCTGTATCTTATCTCTTGGGTAAATCAGCGGCAGAGACTCTAATAACACCCATAGTCCACCAGAAAGTTGGCTTAACATGCTTAATATTACCCTTCTGACAAGAATTTTCTGAAAAATTGATGTTAAAAAAGTATAGATTAAATCTAGAATTACCAAACATACAACTCGTCATTTTGCAATCATTTTTTTCACCCCAGACCGACAATTGTTTTTCCATTTTCCTATGCTGCCTAGCAAGTTAATGAATGACCATTGACTACAAATGCTAACATGCATACATAGAAAATTTACATGTATGTCAAGAAATATAGTTGTGAAGGAAAAATAATTCAGTCAAACATTATGTAAATTCTAATTGAAAAAATAAAACAAAAAAGGTGTAACTCAAACTACTAATATAGAAAGAAAACATTATTAACAGAAACAGGAACATTTTGAATGGTTCATGCTACCTGCGAACTGGTTCCGCAAGCTCGGTGACAGGTTTTCCAGTCAATGGACAGGCAATATTTAAAATATTAGACTGGGTACTGGTCATTACAATATCCTCCTGTTCTTCACCTGGCATTGGCTGTCCCGCATGATGAACATTCTAAGGACCCAAATAAACAGCAAGAACATTAGATTGGTCTCAGGAATCCAGTTAACAACACTATTGTAGAAGTAACTTAGAAAAGTATCAGTTTGCAGTAGTATGATATTATTATGGAAGCTACATAAACAACTGTTCTTTTAAACAGGATCATGGAAGCATAATATTACAAAGTATATTAAAATGTGCAAGGCGAAAACCAGTGTTTACTTCATCCCTTTCCCTTGTCTCTCATTACATAAATACCCATGCATGAAGAATGTGACCATATAATCATGCAGTGGCAGACCATCTTAGGAGTTAATGGAGCCATGTCTCTTCCCAAAAATATTATATTTGATATTGTTAGTCATTCAGATTTGAATAACTTGTCAACCATATCTGAATTGTGTGAAGATTTAGAAAAAATAGGAAAGGCAAATACATATAACTTGATTGAACCAGTAATTTGTCTCATCTTAACTCTTCCAATTTCTACATCCATCACAGAAAGATAATTTTCAGCAATGAAGATAATCAAAATAAGATAGCATAGCAGTAGCATGATGAAGGATGAATTTCTAGTAGACAATTTGGTGATTTATGTTGAAAAAGAAATTGCTGAAATTTTTAGTTCTGAATCACTCATTGATGACTTGACTCTTTAAAGGAACGAAGAGTAGCATCTTAATGCAAGTACATTTTTTCTTTTACATATTTTGTTGTTACTTTACATTAATATATTATTCTAAAACTTTGATATATTATTTGAAACTTTGATAAAATTATACATGATTAATGTACATTTTAACTAGTATCTAGATTCTTCCCTAAAAATTGTAGTGAAGATCCACCACTGTATTCATGATAAAGTTGACACACAATATTTATTGCAAATAAAGAATTCTGCAAATACCATTAATGACTATACAAATGTGATACGATGTATCCAATGGACAATGGTGGGAAGGTATCCTTCTATTGACTATTGACATAGAACCCAGCCTTCTAGGACAACGATGAGAAATCATGTGAGTGCAAGAACATATTTTTATCAGAGACAGCAGTTACACCTCTAACATGCCAGAATTTAAAATAATTGCCAGCAATAAAGAAAACACTCTAGATGAGTGGCAAATTTCCCAATCTTTAAAGTCAAATTATCATTACCCGTTGCATGAACAAAGACATTTAAAAAGAAATGACAGTACACTAAAAAAAAGAGGAAAGTCCACTGATTCCTGACCAAAATAACGAAATAAACACGAAAGATAATTTCATCTACAGAATAGAACCAGCAACATACCCAAACAGCTTCCTTAAATTGGCGTACTAAAGGATTTCTAGAAAGATCTGAAGATCGGTTGGCCTTGAACTTGGAAAGCTCATCCTCAAACAACTTGTTAAAATTAGTGAACTGCAATTGGAACATGAACAAGATAGTTAGTTGTAACTCTTTAGATAAACTTCTTCCGAAACATTTATAGGAGAAAAAAGTAGGGAGAAAATTGAAACTAGTTTTTCCATAAGTTAAAACTAACTTATTCATAAACTACAAACAAAATTGTGGAAAAACTAATAGAAGAGAACTTCTACAAATTAGTTTATGTATAAGCTAATTTTAGCTTTTAGATTAAAGAAAAACTTATTTCATTTTTCCTTCTTAATTTTCTTTGCTAGGAGTGTTTCCAGACAAGTTTATCCACACACAAAGATAAGCAATAACAAAAGAGCAACAAAACAAAAAGGTGTTAACATTCCAAAACCTGTTCTCCAGGCTGGTATCTGTTAGCAAAAGCTTGAACTGATGACGCAAATTGCACACTGAGTTCAGATAGTCCTACTAACTCAATAACCGCGTCTTCCATCTCCTTCACCTGAAACGCTTTTCACATTTCACTATATAATCTAATCAAACACAAAGAACTTAAATGATTGAGAAAACGAAAACCTTGTCGGAGAGGTTGTCTTTCTCCAATTGAACTGCGATTTCCTTCATCATGAGCACGGTTTTTCGAATATCCTAAAAGGAACCTAGAAAATGAGTAATAGGCAATGAGAAGCAGTGAGGAAAAGGAGAAGGGTGGAAATTAGTTACGGCAATGATAGGCTGAGAGTCGGAGGAGAAGGTGGTAGCAGCGTTCTGCAATCGTGCGGCGGCGCCTCCGCCGCGTGACGTTGACGCCATTCTCCGACGGAACGGAGGGAATTTTGGAGGGAGAAACCAACACAACAGATACCAATAAATTCAAGTTCGCTAAAACAAGGGCCTATACACTTTTTTCTCCTACCACTCTTACAATTTCTTTTTACCTTCTCTTTTTCTAGTCCATATTTTTTAGGAGTATTTTTAAGAAAAAAAATTAAAATTAGAATTAAAGTTAAATCATACATAAATTAAATATAAGTTTTTTAAACAATTAATATAAAATTATTTTACAAATTTATTTATACAAAAATTAATTTTACCTTATAAAAAATATTTCATTATTTTTATTTTTAATTTTAAAATATTTTTAGAAAAAATTATATAAATTCAAATATTATATTAATGATGTGAATATATTTTATATTAATATCTAATAACATATTGACAATGTGGTAGCTTTATTTATTTTTATAATAATTATTATAAATTATTTTTGAAATAATTTTTAATTAAATAATAATATAAAAATATGATTTAAATATATTTTTAATTTACGTAAAATGTATGAGTTTTGATTTTGGTTTTTGTAATTTTTTTTCATCCTTTTAAAACTTGTAAATATTGATTTCAGTCATTGTAAAATATTTTTTATTCTCATAAAATGATTAAATTTTGATTTTGGTCTCTATAAAGTATTTTATTTTAATTTTCATCCCTCTAAAATATAAAATAATTATTTTTTGCCCCTAATAATATTTTAAGTAAATAAATAACATCTATTTTAAAAACTTTTAAAAAAATTTAATGTTATCATACACATTTTAATTATTTTTTAAAAGGAGGTGTACTTATAGAAAAAAGGAGGTATATATATCATGAACTTATAATTATTCTTTAGGGGCCACTGATCTTTATTCTTCTTGTCCATTTAATGGACCTTGAAACCAGGCCTATGATTACTGAATACAACTAAGCAATGCCCTGTGGCGGCCCAAGAAAAAAAAGCAATAAAAAAAACAGTTTTATACTTGGCAAATAATAATGTGTATTATATATATATATATATATATAT